AAAGCTTATACATATGTTTTTTCAAATTGTTTTATTACTTTAGGAGAACTGCAAGGTTTCTATAATATTGTTTCAGTATTAGCAATATAAAATAAAGCTAAGTAATCCATATTACATTTGTTCTCCTTCGAAGTGGGTTAATGTGAAAAAAAAATAGATTAATTCTTAGAACTCTACCAGCCCTTAAATAGTCCAGGTCTTGGTTATTGTTGAAACATTCCCAGTGATTCCTGGGAGGGAAGTAGTCTGCTCGGCCAACAGTGTCTGGGGCAAGAGGGTGTACAGTGAACGGGCATCAGATGTTCCTTCGTGAAATATGTAACCACTCTATACATCAGATAATTCATTGCTACCTAAATATATGAAGGATGGTACTGAATCTAAAACCCAATCTTAGTTTTCATTAAATTCATGGGGAGACTAATATATTCCAACATAATTATTACATATGGTTAATAATCATATCTTAATTTATTTTATTGTCAATGTTTTTGTTACTGAGCCAAATTCTAAAGAAAAAATAAATACATGTCCTTGTGGAAATCCTAGCACTTTTGTTTTGTTCTTAAATTAACTCACTAGCTAAAAGCACTTCCCTTCCCAGAAGAGATTTACATTTTTGCATTGCTTTCTGAAGGTCATGTAATTTCTTTAAGTCATCTAATATGGATTTCTTAACCAAAAGAAAAATAACTTTGATAATAGAAAGCATTATTAGATAACATTTTAAAAATATGTTGTAAGAAAAATAACTTTGATAATTGAAAGCATTATTAGATAACATTTTAAAAATATGTTGTGAAATGATCACAGTCTGTCACCATATATAGTTATAGCATTTTTTTTTCTTGGGAAGAGAGCTTTTAAGATCTACTCTCAGCAACAAATATGCGACACAGTTACTAACTACAGTTGCCATGCTGTATATTACATCCACAATGAATTACTTATTTTGAAACTGGAAATTTATAACTTTTGACTCTTCACCCATTTCACCCACCATCTATCTACCCTCCCACCCCTGGCAACCACCAATCTGTTCTCTATACCTATGAACTTGGTTTGTTGTTATTTTTTAGATTCCATATGTGAGATCAGACAGTATTTTTCTTTCTCAGTCTGATTTATTTCATTAACATAGTATCTTCAAGGTTCATCCATGTTGTCACAAATGACAAGATTTTATTTTTTATGGCTGAATAATCATTATCTTATATAATAAAAGCCTAATATGCAAATTGTCCTCTTGAGCGGTCGTTTGACCAGGAGTTCAATCAGAAGACCGGGAGTTCGACTGCTTGCTATGACGTGTGCTGACCTCCGGGGGGTGGCGCAGAACATGGCAAGCATTGCGGTGCTGGCAGCGGGCAGCAATAGAGGTGCTGCCGGTCCCGATGGGCCCCGACGAGAGCAGAACCGCGGTGGGATGGTGGAGCAGGTGAGCGCAGCGCCAGGCCAAGGTGGGTGTGAGCGGGGGCCCTATCGCCCCACTGATCACTCCACAGACAGCGACCAGTGGCAGCGGCGGGGGGTGGGGCTGCAAGCTGGGGCCCGATCATCTCCACAGGCCACCCCGAGGGACCCCAACCATGCATGAATTCGTGCATCGGGCCTCTAGTGTGTGTGAATGTGTGTGTGTGTGTTCAGCACAATTTATCCATTCATCTGTCAATGGAAACTTAAGTTGTTTCCATATTTTGGCTATTTTCTATAATAATAAAAGGGTAATATGCTAATTAGACCAGACTTCTTTGAGGCGTCATTCTGAGTAATTTCGCCAATTCGGGGTGGGTGTTATTAGTTTCAGCTGCTTACTCCATTTGCTCCGGGACAAGACCTGGGACGCGTCTGCCTATACCGCCGCCATCTTTAACATCATCTCTCGAGGCGTCATTCTGGATGTCCTTCCTGACAAAGCCAGGGCGGAAGGAAAGCCAGCCTGAGTCCAGGGTGCCTGCGGGTGGCAGGAGGAGGGAAGCAGCCCGGGTACTGGAGGGCGGCCAGAGGAGGGAAGCCAGTGCCGGCAGCCGGGGGAAGGAAGGCCTACTCTTGCACAAATTTTCGTGCATCAGGCCTCTAGTTGTAAATAATGATGCAATGGACACAGAGCGCATATAACTTTTTGAGTTAGTTTTCTTTAGACACTCAAAAGTGGAATTTCTGTGTTTTATGATCTATTTTTTTAAAAATATATTTTATTGATTTTTCACAGAGAGAAAGGGAGAGAGATAGAGAGCTAGAAACATTGATGAGAAAGGAACATCGATCAGCTGCCACCTGCACACCTCCTACTGGAGATGTGCCCGCAACCCAGGTACATATGCCCTTGGCCGGAATTGAACCTGGGACCTTTCAGTCCGCAGGCCGACGCTCTATCCACTGAGCCAAACTGGTTAGGGCTTATGATCTATTTTTAATGTTTTGAGGAATCTCTGTACTGTTTTCCAAGTGGCTGCACCAACAGTGCACAAGGGTTCTTTGCTTTACATCCTCTCCAACACTCAGTATTTGTCTTTTTTAATAGTTGCCATTCTAATAGGTGTATGGTGGTATCTCATTGTGGTTTTGATTTGTATTTCCCTGATGGTTAGTGATGTTGAGCATCTTTTCATGTACCTGTTGGCCATCTGTATGTCTTCTTTGGAAAAATATTTATTCAGATCCTCTTCTCATTTTTTCTTTTTTAAATATATTTTATTGATTTTTTTCAGAGAGGAAGGGAGAGGGATAGAGAGTTAGAAACATCAATGAGAGAGAAACATTGATCAGCTGCCTCCTGCACACTTCCTACTGGGGATGTGCCCGCAACCAAGGTACATGCCCTTGACCAGAATCGAACCTGGGACCCTTGAGTCCACAGGCTGACGCTCTATCCACTGAGCCAAACCGGTTAGGGCCCTCTTCTCATTTTTTAATCAGATTGGCTTTCTTTGCTATTGAGTTCTATGCGTTCTTTAAACTCAGTTTTGGATATTAACACTGTGTGATACATGATTTGTAAATATTTTCTCTCACTCAGTAGGATGCCTTTTTATTTTGTTGATGGTTTCCTTTGCTGTGTGGAAGCTTTTCAATTTGATGTAGTCCCACATGTTTAGTTTTGCTTTTGTGACCTCTGCTTTTGGTGTCAAATACAAAAAAAAAAAAAAATCATCACTCACCAAGACAGATGTCAAGGAGCTTAACTGTGTATGTTTCCTGCGGAGTTCTGTGGTTTCAGGTCTTACATTCAAGTCATTAATCCATTGAGAGTTAATTATTGTGGTGTATGGTATAAGAGAGTGGTCCAGTTTCCTTGTCAACACAATTTATGAAAGAGGCTGTCCTTTATTGTATATTAGAGGCCCGGTGCATGAAAATTCATGTACTGGAGTGGGGGGTCCCCTCAGCCCGGCCTGCCCCCTCTCACAGTCCGGGAGTCCTCAGGGGCAGGAGACAACCCTTCCATCAGGGGAAGGCGACGCCCCCATCACACCTCTGCTGCTGCTACTGCTGGCAGCGCAAGCCTTGGCCGGCCCTGGTGACCTGAGCCTCGGGCGGCCCTGGGCGGCTGGGCAGCCGCCATCTGAGGCTTGTCTGTGCCTTGGGCCCAGCCTGGGCAACTGAGGGTGGGTCTGGCGGCACCGCATGCCTGCCACCACCCCCCCAGCAGCACTGAAAGGACTGGGGGACTCCGGCAGGGCTGAGGGGACTGGGCGCTGCCATCTTTGTGACATGTGATGGTCAGTTTGCATATTCCCTTTATTTGATATGATTGTTGGCTTCTTTGATGTAAGTTAATTGACCATACATGTGTGGGTTTATTTCTGGGCTTTCTATTCTGTTCCATTGATATATGTGTCTGTTTTTATGCCAGTACCATACTGTTTTAATTATAATAGCTTTGTAATATAGTTGGAAATCAGGGAGCTTGATGTCTCCAGCTTTGTTCTTTCTCAAGATCCCTTTGGCTATTCAGGATCTTTTGTAGTTCCATGTAAATTTTAGGGTTGTTCTATTTCTGTGAAAAATGCCAGTGGAATTTTGATAGGGATTGCACTCAATCTGTAGAATGCATTGGGTAGTATGGATATGTTAATGTTAAGTCTTCCAACCCATGAGCACAGAATATCTTTCCTCCCTAGCTGGTTTTGCTCAATGTTTAGAACGTTAGCCTGCAGACTGAAGGATCTCAGGTTTGATTCCTGGCACCAGTCAGGCGTGTGCGGTAGGCAATCAACCGATGTGTCTCTATCCCATCAATGTTTCTCTCCCCTTTTCCACTCTCTCTAAAAATCAATGGAAAAAATATGCTCTGGTGAGGATTAACAAAAAAATATGTTTCCATTTATTTGTGTCTTCTTTAATTTCTTTCACCAGTGTCTGATAATTTTCAATGTACAGATCTTTTACTTCCATCGATCAGCTGCCTCCTGCACACTCCCTACTGGGTATATGCCCGCAACCAAGGTACATGCCTTTGGCTGGAATGGAACCCAGGACCCTTGAGTCCACAGGCCGACGCTCTAGCCACTGAGCCAAACCGGTTAGGGCGGTATTTTCTTTTTAATATTGTTGTAAATGGGATTGTTTTCTTAACTTCTCTGATAACTTATTAGTATATAGAAACAAATTTCTATATATTGATTTTGTATCCTACAATTTTACTGAATTCATTTATTCTAACAATTTTTTGGTGGACTCTTTAGGGCAGTGGTTCTCAACCTTCCTAATGCTGCGACCCTTTAATACAGTTCCTCATGTTGTGGTGACCCCCAACCATAAAATGATTTTCGTTGCTACTTCATAACTGTAATTTTGCTACTGTTATGAATCATAATGTAAATATCTGATATGCAGGATGTATTTAGGCGACCCCTGTGAAAGGGTCGTTCGACCCCCAAAAGGGTCGCGACCCACAGGTTGAGAACCGCTGCTTTAGGGTTTTCTATATATATCATGTCATTTACAAATAGTGACAGTTTTAGTTTTTCCTTTCCAATTTGGATGATGCCTTTTCTTTTTCTTGCCTAATTGTTCTGGCTATGACTTTTCAGTACTATGTTGAATAACATTTAAAATTTGACATAAAAAGCAAAGTGGCCCCAAGAAAGCGGTTTGAAACTAAATGTTGAGCACTCGATGAGACCATGGGAACAACTTCCTCCTTTTTATGTAGCCCTATGTGGGTAATGTAGGCTTTAGAAGCAATCCCAACTTACTATTGATTGCTGTGTCACAAGCCACCTCAAAACTTAAGAGGCTTAAACAATAATCACTCTGTCATGGTTTCTATGGGTCAGGAATTTGGGAAAGGCTCTCCTTGGCAATTCTAATGCAGGGTGTCTGATGCACTTCCAGTTAGTACCTGGAGCTGGAATAGCAGGAGGCTGGAATACTAGCGACTGGCCAGGCACCTCTCTCTGCTTGTAGTTTCAGGGCCTCTCCATGTAGGTTGGTTTGGGCTTCCTCACAGCATGTCAGACTCAGGGTGATGCTCAAGGACTACCAGAGCTTGTGTTCCAACAAATCAGCTGGCAAGCTGCATTGCCTGTTATGACCTAGCCTTGGAAGTCACATGGCATTACTTTTGTCATATTATCCAGTCACCTCTTGATCTGAAGGATGTCAGAGACTTTACTGACATTTTACAACTGTCACATTCACCTTAAGAAGCCCATTTGGTATGGAAGGCAAGACCAGTCCAGATGGCACCATCAGAATAACACCAAAAGGTAAGCTGTGGGCATAGAGGGCCATGGGAGCTCAGGGGAAGGAGTAAGGGAAGGCATTGTAGAGGTGTCCTTTAAGCTAATTCTTAAACTGGATTTTGACATGTTGAATGGCATTAACAAGGCCCAGAAGTAACAAATGGTTGGTGAACAACAATGAGTGAGTGCTCGATTGCAATCCAGGGTGGCTAATGGGAAGAAATGAGTAAAGAGGCCAGGTGGGCAAGATCAAGAATGCCCAGCTAAGAAGCTTGGAAAGGGGAGGTAGGCAGAAAAATAATGGTGGTTCCTCTCCCCTCAGACATAACTGCAGTGGGAGTGTTGGTGGACTTTCCTTCTTGGCAATGGCAAGACTACCCCCTCCAGAGTGTGGTATTAACAGGAGTTTATGTCAATTTCCAACTTGGAAATATCAGGTAAATAAGCAGATTTCGGTAATGTGGCTTTATCAGTTACTTGAACCATCACCCAAAACAGGGGTGGGGAACCTTTTTTCTGCCAAGAGTCATTTAGATATTTATAACATCATTCACGGGCCATACAGAATTATCGGCTGGGGTGGCTCAATTGGTTGAGCATTGCCCCATGCACCAAGAGGTCACGGTTCCATTCCCAGTCAGGGCACATGCCCCGATTGCAAGCCTGATCCCCAGTAGGGGGAGTGCACGAGGCAGCCCATCAGCGCTTCTCTCTCTTCCCTCGCTCTAAAATAAAAAATATATACATTGAAAAAAATAGCTTGTTATATTTGATCAAACATTTAATTAACTCACCCCTAATGCCTTGGCAGGGCCAGACTAAATGATTTCTCGGGCCTTATACAGCATGCAGGCTGGATGTTCCCCACCCCTGACCTAAAATGTGACGGATTCTGAGGGCACATAACAAATGTGTTGATGCTTGAATAGAACACAGCCTCCTAGAACCATCTGTTGTGTTGAGCAGGGTGGTCTAGAACTTTCTGTGCTGGAAATATTCTATAATCTGTGCTGTGCCATACGGATAATACCTAACCACATGTGCCCCTGAGCATATGAAATATACCAGGACTAGAATGTGTTTTTAATTTTAATTAACTCTAATTTAAACAGCCACATGTGTCTACTGTATTAGCCAGCAATTAGATAAATATTTGACACCAGAGATATGAATATGAGCAAAGTGCTACGGGGATCCAGAATAATGGGGCTAGTCACACACTAATGCTGCCCTGACTCAGGTTTACTGGCTGGAGCCAAAGGAGTAAGGTCTCACTATAGTCTATGTACCCCCAGAGACGCCGCCACTGAAATATACCATCCAAGACCCTAAAAGTAAGGGACGGACAAGAGCCATCTGGGAGAAAATATATAGGTTGGTGAGGGGTTAACTTTTAGCCTGGGAACTCCCTTTCCAAATGGAAACTTCAAAGACAATAGGAACTTGGAGCTATTTTAGTTGAAAGCAGAGGTGGAGGCCCAATGACTGTGCTGCCTCGGCCTTAGAAATGACAAAAGTAAATTCCTCATTCCTTTGAACCTCACTCCAAAGTGCAGCACATCTTGAGATCAATAATGAAGCTACATGTTTATTGTTCAAAACAAATTTATTCTCAGAATAATGCACAAAAAGCACAGGTTGATGCTACCGTGGGAGGCTTCCCTCCCCCTGCTGCCACCTCCCCCTCCTCTCTGCCCGGGAGAACACAGTTGAAGGAAGAAACATGCAATCACAAACAATGAGTAACTCTAAAGACAAAAGGTTTGGTCCAAAAGAACTCAACATGATTAATCCAATTAGGTGAAGAGCTTCACTGAGTAGGATTAAGATATTGCAGATGTAGTGTTTCACAGCGTGGCTCTTCAGTGCACCAGGGGGGCCTGCTTGAGGGAGATGAGGACAGAGCGCATGCGGGAGACGTCTTTGGCCTGCTTGCTGGACTTAGGGTTAAAGTCACACAGCCGGGCCACCCGTTCCCACTCAGTGCCTGGGGATGACTCGTCAATGTCATTTACAAAGGCTTCTTCTGCTGCCCTGGAAGCAACAACAAAATATGTTGGTTTAATGTAGAATCCCGTGAGCTACCTGGTGGCTGCCTTGTTCTAGAAGCGACTGCATCTTCATGCCTGACTTAATGGCATTCTGGTTTTCTAAGGAATCACAGCCCTTGGCCCAGGTCAGAGTCGAGAGCAGACACGTGGCCAGCTCTCCTAGGCACAAGGTGCCTGGACTGCTGTGTAAAATGTTGGAATACAGGTGTTTGGTTTCAGGGCTCCTCTCTCTGTGTCTGTCTCTGCTGATACAGAGCATTAAAAAAGCAAGTCCTTAGCCAACTACACAATGCTTTCTTTAACAAAAGCAAAGCAGCAGGCTTGTCAAGAACTTGAACAGTAGTTTATGTTGGGCTGTGCTAAGTTTCAAGAAAATTTAGACTTCTAAAAAGCCCACAACTCATTGCGCTACAGCTTCTGGATTTATTCCTAAGGCTGGAGAGAAACAGGGTACATCAGAGGGAATTCAAAACAAGCTCCCATGCTAGCAGGCATTAGAGACTAGAGCCATTCTGGAAGGGGTTTGTTAGGACATTCTCCAGTTCAGCCATTTTCCCTCCAGCCAGGTACCTTGGACCACACCGAGGGCACACGTGGCAGGGGTGGGCACCCAGGGGCTGGAGAGCCAATCAATGTTAAGTGCTTTTTGGTAGGATGCTGCTCTAACATTCTTTCAGTCAAGGTCAGCCCACCCCCACTTGGGAACCTGCTGGTGGGAGCTATAGCTCAAAAGGACAGTGGTTAAGAAGAGGGAAGACACACTATATTCATCTACTTCAACAAGCATCACGGGCAAAGCAAAAGCAATGGAGATGACTGGTCTGTGGGGACAAAGGGTTGCACTCACAGGGATGGCCGTGGCAAACACTGCTGAAGCCAGAGCCACTACAAGACTGCAACTGCAGAGCACACACAGTTAGGGGCAGTGAGAAAGATTTACTTAACTGTTCTAGGCTGTAGCAAGGATGGCTTATGTTTGTGCTTAAAGGTGAAGAGAAGAAAAGAAACAAGGAGAGAAACTTTAGGTCAGATATAGAAAATGAGAATGAGCTCAATGCAGATGGTCAGTAAGCTAGACATGCCCTTGCCACTCTATTTATGATTGGGAACGTGCAGCTGGCTTTGCTGGGCCACCCTGCTGCCCAGCAAACCCAGATTCAACCTTTCTAGTCTCCATTTCTACTCCAGAGAGAATGTGCAAAAATCAAATCCAACACCACCTGTAAGTCCAGCATTTCACAAGTCTCGTTGCAAATACATCTGGGGGCCCAGGAAACCCAGTTTTGTCTTCTACCAGGATGAATATCTAAAGGCTCTAGGCCTCTCAGCCTGTTGTCCACCCTCCCCACAAATTCCTCTCTTCCTCCATTTCACTTTCATGTTTCTTCACTCAAAATCTAGTCCTAACATTTAAGGAGGAAACAGCAAGAACAGTTTCCAAGTCTTCAACAATACTGCTTTGATAACATGAACCCCTAAAAAAAAAACTTCCAGAGAAGATGCAATTTTCTTTGGGGAGAAAAGCCAAGTGGCTCCTATCAGACAGCTTTGGCTACCTTGACCTTGAAGCTGGGGCCTCTCTGAGCAAGGGTGAGGGAACAGGGCATCACAAGTTGGCAACTAAACCATTTCTGACATATAAGACCATAGAGAAATCATTACAGGCCCCCATCAGAGACAACCCCCTCTGCCCAAGGGAGAGGCAACCAACTCCACATTCTTCGAAGAAACCACGTGTAGAAAATACTGCCCCGGCTGGTTCCTAACCAGGACATCTACCTCTCCTCCCCACCAAGGGCAGGGGCGTAGTGGTGGCAGCAAGAGGTCAGAGCCCTCCAGTCCCAAAGTCTTCCCAGACAAGATCACAAATGACCCACATTTTGAAAGGGAGTCAGCTTCCTTCTGTCCAAAACCCCGAATATGAAAAATGGCAATCAGAGTTGTAGGAAGTCGTGATTCTGCAAGACAATCATTGGATCATACCCCAGCTTATCACCTATTAGCCCCCGAAGTGCCAGTTTGAAATAATTTAAAAAGCAAAGCAACTTGTGGCATAAAAGGTGCATTAACTCTAAATGAAAAGTAGAATCAAAAAAGGAAAAGGAATTAGTTTTGCAACATACACATAACCAATCACGTCAGCGAAGGGTTGTTTGTAGAAAGCTTCATCTGCCACCCTAGACAGCAAGAGATCCAAAAGGCAGGCAAGCAGGCAGGAAAAAAGAGAGAACATTGAGAAGCAGAAACATCTCAAATCCACAATAGAGGCACAACTTCTCTGGGAAAGCTGTTCCCATGGCTCTATCCTAACCCAGCAAGGGTTCCAGCACTGGAGACTCCAGCAGGCACTGTTTCCTGCTGGCCTGTTCCACGGGGATTCTCCCTTTGCCTTCCCTCAGCCACAACAAGCATTTAAGAACCTACTTATGGGCTAACCCCGTTTACAGTCACTATGTTGGTTCAGTTCTCAACCCCAGCAACCTAGAACATATTAAATGTTCTCACCTCACTTTACAGATGAGGTAATGGAAGCCTACAGATGAAGCAACTTATTCAGCAGTAAGAGGCAACGGGCAGAACTCCCAACCAAAGCTGCCTGGCTCTTTTCACTGCATATTAATACTTCCCAGCTGGTGTGAGCCATGTCACCCCCCTCTCAGGCTCAGTAACTATCACTGGGTGTACCAGACAAGCTAGGTCCCAAAGTCAGTTTTTTCTTGGATTATCCAATTACTGCTTCCCCACACTGCCTGGGTGGGATCAATTTCCAGTATCTTAGGAACCCATATGGCCACTTCAAAATTCCCACCTTAGAGAAAAAAGCAGCTGGAGGCAAGTGGTCTGGTGGAAAGAACTGCAGATTAGGGTCTGGCTCTGGGTTACTGTGTCCCTGAACAGACTGTCTGCCTGTTCAGTCCATGCCAGACTTGACTGCTTTAACAAGGTGAGGCCCGGAAGCCAGCACTTAATTCTTTCTTAACTCTCACTCACATCAGGAATGTATCAGAATGGCAGGGCTCTGAAACAAAAAGGAAAGGGCAGAATGCTGAGTGGAGGAGTTTACACCACAGAGGACAGGCTGGCCTTAGATTCTGTTGTCCCAGGCTGCCCACCTCGTCCACTGTGGGTGGGCAGGGAACCTCCCTCAAGGAGCCTTGCCCGGTCCTTTGCCAGGTCAGTTTGGGACACAGGCGTGGAAGGGACATTTTTTTTAAAGGACAATCATGCCTGGTTATTAACAAACTCACATATTTATTTGAAGGGAAATGCTAGTGATTTTTTATTTTTAAACTCACACATACCCTTTCTTCTTTACCATTTTGGTTTATATATAGAAGCCAGCTTGTAAACCCATAATCCTTTTAGTTTACACAAGGACTAAACCTAATCAATTTCAACTGTGTTTTGCTTCTGCTGGAAGAAAATAAAGGTTTAATGACTCCTGTCAAGGCAGCACTAAGACAACAAAAGCCTGAATATCAGGCTTTGGCTCCTTTGTGGCTAGCCCCAAAAGAGCTGGTCTGTGACAGCACTACTCTGTCATGATTACAGACCCAGGACAAATGGAAAATCTCATACAACAAACACAGCCGGCCCTCCACCTGCTTGTTCTTCACCCCCCAGATAGAGGGGCTTCAGAGCAGCAATCCTCAGGCAGGCAAGGCAGGAAGGGGCTCAGGGAAGCCTGGAGAGGGGAGGGGAATGCTTTCGGGCATCTTAGGAGGCTGATACTCACGAGGGCATGGAAAAAATGTTTGCCTCACTGAGCATCACGGATTCCCCAAACTTTTATAAGCCTTGAGAAAAGTGAAGCTAGGTCAGTACCAAAGCTACCTATAAAAGGGGAAATGTTTGTTATGGTTTAGGAAGGGACATAGTCTGGGGTTGTTCTACAGGAAAAAACTCCTCTGGCTCCTGTGAAAAGAGAATTCTTTTCCATGTACTGTCCCTTAATTCATGGCTCTTGTGCAGTGACATTTAGGCCCCAACTCAGGATAAAAGGAGGGAGATGCAGTCTGAGGACTGACAGACTAGAGATGCTGTGACAAGGTCTGTTGACTGTTGTCTGCCCCCTGCACGGTGCCTGGCACAGATGTGCTCTGAAGGCTTCAACGGAGGCACCTGCAAGCAAGAAGCCTGAGATACTTGCATTAAAAGAGGCCCTTGCTACCCTGAGTCTCCTCTTTCAAACTTCCCTGCCTTATCCTTGTGGTCCCCCTTAAAACATCCAGTTGCTGCAAGAATCACCCAGTAAAAATGAGAATGCTTGAATTGAGCACCCTCGTTTTCTTTCCTCAAAATATTCACTATTTACCTGTAGACAGACAATGAGAAAGATAAGTCACTTTAAACAGATAATTGAGACTTTAGTCCCATGGGACTCTAATGTTTAAGTCGAGCTTAAATGGGGGAAGGGAGAGCCATAAGCAATGTTGAAATCTCCAGGGGAGGGTGTATGCCATTGGAAGAAGTCCCCAAAGTGGTTCTATAATGGCTTCCACCTCAGCCACTGAAGAATTGGCGTGAAGTGTAAAAACCATCCCTGATCCTTGGTGACAGTGGCTAGTGTGGCACTAGCTTTACACACTGAGGGTCAGCCCTGTCTGTGCTGCAAGGCTTCTACAAGGCAAGTGATCTGCTTTCTAAACAGTTCTACGTTTCCAATGAGTGGTAAGTTTAACTCTCTTCCTCTCTCTGGTACCTGAAATTCATCTCTGAGACTATCCAACCCAACATCCTCAAATTCAACGTAAAGAAAAGTACACCAAGCCCTAAATCAATGCCCAGATGGACTAAACCTTTAAGACTCAGCTCCTAAAAACAGGTGTAATCAGTTTCTTCAAGGACAACCGATTCTGTATACAGACAGAAGGGATTCAGTTTAGCAAAACTGGCCTGAAAAAATTTCTGCAATGAGAAACCTATCCCCAACATAATATTTTAAGTCTGAGAATCTGAATGTCAACTTGCTTAAACCTCAGGGACCCTGAACAGGGAGGGTCAGACCAGTTTTACCAAGTACTTCAGAGCAGACTGATAGGCTAAGGCAACACACTAGGGTAAACAGCATCTTATACAAAGCACCCACTCATCTCTCTTTAGAGCTGTGAACTCACAGCTGGGGGAAACCATCTTGAATAAGCAAAAGATAAAGAGGCCTGGCCTGTCAGCACTTCAAAGCGATCACAAGCTCAGCAGAAGCCCCCAACCTGAGAGCAGTCCCACCATACTTATCACAGAACTTCAAATGGAACCAGTAAGCACAGAGAATGCATCCACCACAGGAAGGTGGCCAGGACAGAGGCTCAAACCTGGCATCTGAGGGGCAAATGACAGAACCAAGGATGGCCAACAGGAGATCACTGAAGACTGCTACATAAACAGTCCATCTGTTCTACCAGGGTTGCCCCACAATGGCACTGGCTGGCAAAGCCATCAGCTCCCTCTTTTTTGGCAAATTTCCATATAATAGAGCTGACAGAGAGATGGGCACTTAAACCCACTTCTGCCTCTGAGGATAGAAGCCTAAGACTCTTTACCTTGAAAATTAAAACTATCCCCAAAACCTGTCTTTATATTGAAGTGAGTGAAGTCAATCCAGCAGGGAAAGCAAGCCCACGGACACCGTGGCGAGCAGCGCTGCCTCTGCCTGAGCCAATTCCTCATGGACGCTAGGCATGCAGCATCAAGGACACAGCTACTGGTCAGTGGGAATACGAGAATGTTTCCTCCGACGACTCAAGAGCATTTTTTTAAAAGTCAACTCAAGATTTTTTTAGACACAAATACCCAGAGAACCCTTAATTCTGAAGTCGCTGTGTTGGACGACCTTCTTTGGCTACCTAATTACCAATCACATTTCCCCGCTAACAGACTCCTCTGTGAAGCACCTTTCAGAGGGCAGGGTTGTAGTTAGGGGATACAACATGATGAAATTTATCATCATTTCCAGCAGACTAAGATCCTGGTATTATAGTCATGAAACAGCCTTTCATTTCAGGGTTACATCTTTACACATGGACCTGATCCATGAAATAATTTTTCCTCTGCTGTATCATACCATTACAGGTGGTACATATGAATCAAACTCTTGGTTGAAGAGCTAAACTCACTATAACTGGGAAGGCTAACAGCTAAATTATGCTCACATGAACCAAGAGACTTGCAACCTTTATTTCAAGCTTTTTTCGAAAACCTGCGAACACATTTCACACTAAAAGAGTTATTAGCAGCTGAGAACCTGTCCTGGCTTTGGAAATGGATTTGACTCAATCTTGGAATACAAGCTGTGCCAAGAAGCACCATGGACTAACCTGTTGTTTGCTTTTGTTTTTTGTAACTGCTCATCCTGCCTCGCATACCACTCTTCCAGCTCCTTTATTGCTTTTTCTTTCCACTCTGCTTCTTGCTTCCGAGAGTTGGCATCTTTGAAAGAAAGGAAAAATGATACAAATGAAACAAAACCTGTGCAAATGTATATTGGGAGAATAGTCAGGAGGGAAGAAAAAATTCTATTTTTCCCTGTTTGTACATCCAGCTCTTGCTCAGCGATTCTATCCAAGGTGTTTCACCACATTTTATCCCAGTCCACTGACACTATCACTAGTTGGTAGCTTGTTTTTGGTTTTTTCTTTAGGACTTTAGGGGGGGGGGGGGGGGGGGGGGGGGCGTGGCACAAGAGTGGAAATACTGACTTTTAATAGAAACAAGCCTTTGGGGGCACCAACTAGGGAAAAAGCAATTACAGATTTTTTTTTCTTTTTTGGTTAATTCTCATGGAGGATATTTTTTCCAGTGATTTTTGAGAGGGAGGAAGGGGAACTGAAAGAGAGAAAGAGAGAAACATTGCTGTGAGAAAGACACATCAATTGGTTGCCTCCCACACATGCCCTAAGGGGATCGAAACCCCTGGCCAGGAATCCAATCCACGACCCTCTGGTGTGCAGGCTGACACTGTAACCACTGAGGCACACTGGTCAGGGCTATAGATGATTCTTTAACAATGCTGCCAATATTAGTTCAGGGTTGGCTATTCATATTAGATAATCCTTTTTTAAAAATATATTTTTGCTTTCAGAGAAGAAAGGGGAGGGAGAGAGAGATAGAAACATCAATGATGACAGAGAACCATTGATCGGCTGCCTCCTGCACACCCCACACTGGGGAACGAGCCTGCAACCCAGGCATGTGCCCTGACCAGGAATTGAGCCGTGCCCTCCTGGTTCACAGGTTGATGCTCAACCACTGAGCCATGCCAGCCAGGCCATATTAGATAATCTTTTAACAAAATCTCACAATTTATATTCCACACCTGAGGTTGACAATTAATTGTTCTATAAAACACAAGATGGCACTCTCTTAACTAAATATGGTAGAAGCACCTCTATGAAGCAGGATGCTATTAGGAAAATTACCAGAGGTAGAGATTTAGGAACCAGGGAACAGTAGAATATAGATGTTCGAGTTAGGAGGACTGCAAAATATTTATCTCTGCTTAGACTGCACAGTGAGTTTGTGACAGAGCTAAAGAGAAACTCCAGTGGAGTGAACTGCAGGGCGTTGGGGATCATTATTAGCAGTTATTCACAAAGGTTCCAGAAATTAGAGAAAATGCACACCCAGCAGGAAGTTTTTCGGGTTTAAATATGGGTTTTCCTAACATTTAACTAAAATAAAGAGACACATGTCAGTAGATAGTGGGAGAAAAGGCAGTATGTCACAGCCACTGCCGCAGTTGACACCTCAAGTTACCCAGATACTTCACTTGAAAACATGCTCTTAAGGACATCCTTTCTCATTTCATCTTTACAACAATCCCAAGAAGGTAAACTGTAGTCTCATAGTCAGCAATGAGAAAAACTACAGCTCAGAAAGTGAGAAATCTTTATAAAGGTTACAGTGAGTGACAGAACCAAGACTCAAACCCAGGTCTGGCTGTAAAGCTCACATATTCTTACTTCATTATGCTGCCTCCAAGGGCGGGACAGAAAGGGAAGCAAGCCAAGAAATAATCTTACGATGGAACTGAAGGTGGTAGCCACTGGTCCAGACTAAAGTTTGGACAGTGTAGAGCCAGAGCCCACCCTGTAATTAGTATCCTCAAGGGGGAGAGTATAAAGCAGTGGTGATGACAACCATTCAAGGGAAGAAATGAAGCATTTGAGGGCATGTTAGGGACTCTGCAAAAAAATGTCTTGTAGAAACAACCTGCAGAAAGCAGTAACTGCTATAAACAGCCTAAGAGCATCTAAAAACTCCAAGTTTCACATTATAAAAGAACTTTCACCCTGTTACCTAACTTATCAGAAGGTGACCTATTGCTCGGAGGATAATTATTTCACTCAGATTTTCCACTGATGACTCAAGTAGATAAACTTCTGGTGCATGTCTGTCCACGTCACTAAGTGTATGCGGAATGGAGGGTGCTATGATGCAATGGGAGATGCTGAGGGTTGCCAGTGCCATGGGGGCAAGAAACTGGAAAATACTATTTTCAAAATGCAAGGTCTCCTTTTCAAGACTGGTGAGATTACTTCCAAAAAATTACCTTTTGATTGAGGAGTATTTTCTTTCTGTGTAGTCTGATAACTTTTTAAATGTTATTACATAGTAGGAATAAAATATCATGGAAATTTACTCAAATTTTTGTCTAAATAAAAACTGTTACCATCTGTACAAACTGTAGGTTCTGCATAAAACAGTCCTTTAAATTGTCTTCTTTTACCGATTTATGAAGTGACACTGGCAATAAGAATTTAGAATTCTTAAACGTTTAGCTTGCTGAGACAACTATCCAAGCCATAATACAATCTCTGAGTATGGAAGAGAGAAGAGGGAGGGAGGGATAAAGAGTCCCCTTAGAAAGCAGGGCACACTGACAGCTGTCTCCTCTGGCCATCCTCATTACTATTCACAGAAAAGCAAATTATTTCACCACAGCCAGTAGCTAAGCTGCATACCATTGACACTGGTTCTCTATTCTTAGCATTTTGTGCCTTCTCACAGTTCTTGCAAAGAAAAAAGGTGAAAATAAGAAACACCTAGTTCATGGATCAATTTAATTCAGTTAGAATGTAAGGTCAAATGTTTGACTTCCCTCAGGAAGATATCTTCAGTTAAGAAGACAATACACTTCATGGAATATTTCCCAAATGTTCAATTTGATAATCGAAGAAGAAAATGCAATTTTCACAGACACTAAAGTGAACACTCTCCACGAACAAGACAACTTTGCTAAACTTTGCGAAAAGAAAAAGTTGGGTTCTGTAACATGAAAAATATCTAGTAGTAGCAACACCAGTTAAGTCCTGCCTCTAAGCCTACTAAGAAGAGATATACAAAGAATAAGCAAGGGCTGAGGCTGCCGGCACCATGAAGACCTATTTTCATCTATCTAAAGCCGTACCCTCCAGTAGAGTAGCTATTAGCCACATGTGGCTATTTAAGTTTATTAAAATTAAATGAAATTTAAAATTCAGTTTCTCAGTCATACAAGCCACATTTAAAGTGCTCTATAGCTACATGTGGCTAGTGGCTGCCACACCGCACAGCACAGATACAGAATATATCCATCACACCGCAGAAATAACTAGTGGATAGTGCTGTAAAGGTTCAAACATAAGTGTCCCAGTATTTTGAGTCACATAAATTGGGCTGGAGAGGCAACAGATTTTACATTAATTGGCTGTGTTATCAGGGTCACATCCCTTCCTATTTCTAGGTGTTAGTTACCCCACCTGAAAAATGAGTCATATTTTTACGAGTTCAGTGGTGTCTAGGAAGAAATAATGCTAACACTGTGGTTATAGAGAAGAATGTTATATTTCTAGATTTACAATAAAATTTAGGCATGAAGTCTATGATGTCCGTCTCTTAAAATGGACCAGAAAAAGTATGTGATTGTATATTTACAATACACGTATCTTCTTTGAACTATTCTGTTGGAAATTTTAATAAAAAGCTGAGAAAAAAAAAATACCCACACTCTGCCATAACTCTCTAACCCGAATATACAGATACCAAGTCTCTCCTGATCTTGCCCAACAGCTGACACTTCATGTACACAGAGAGCCCTTCACATTAGGCCAGGCTGGCTGGCGCTGATCTTCGGCTCAGCCTGCCTAACGAGATGGTGTATACTAAATGCAATGGGGCTGAAGGGATGGGTATGGACTCTGAAACAGGGCAGACTTAAGCTGAAATTCGGACTCTACTTATCTCTGTGATGAAAAAACTTACTCTACCTATGCTTTTCACTTTCCTCACCCATAAAGGTGTAAAAACTTACCTTTCAGGGATATGAGGGTAAGAAAAACAAATTGTATGTTTTCTAACATAGCTCACACTTTCCTCTTAAGAGCTACTTCAAGTTTACAAAGTGCTCTCATAAATACCACTGCAGAATTCCCGGGGGATTGTTAACACTGATCTTACTCCTCTCAGATGAAGAAACAGATTCTGCAAGGTTTGTGCAAGAAAGTGTGCACAGTTGGTAAGGGCTAAGGCTGAGCCTTGAACCCAGTCTTCTCACTCCAAGTCCACGGCTCCCTTCCCTAGCACCACTCTGCTCTTCTTGAGAGGAGAGGATCTACTTGCTGCTTTCTGGGCTGCCCTAATCCTTACACAATAGCCTGTCATTAAGGATCTCCACATGAGTAGCCTTGTGACCTTCAGGTTTAGAAAGATTAACATCCCAAACACCAGACAAGGACATAATGGCTAATGCAAGTGACAAAGGAATAAAAGGAGAGTCAAGGTCAACTATTCCACTGAAAACAGATACCCAAAGACAGAAAGGGATTCCTTACCAAGGGCTTCCAAGCGTTCCATTTGCTCTTCTCTCCATTTACGGATACTTTCAGGCTCTGATTGCAATCGATCCACTTGTGAAATAGCTGCGTAACTGTCTGTTGGACCATTACTCTCCTTAACACAAAACATAATTGTACTCTATCAGTACCAAAAACTCCTTCCTGAAATGCACTTCATCCAAGTTAGAACCCCTGGTTATGTACAGCACTAAAGATTGTTAAAATGTTGAAGGATGACCTTAATAGCAATAACACAACCTGATAGGGAGCTTTCAACATTACCACATTTAATCCTTACAGCCCAAGAAGAGGCAGAGTAGTTGTTACCCTATCTGTTAATAAATGGGACATGAGTGGGAGATAGGAAAGTCAGGGAGGTGAGTAATGGAGTTACTGGGAAACACTGTTATCAGTTTTGGTTTCCTGACCTGACACAGAGATTATGTGGTATTTTCAAAGTAACAAAGGTAAGTACATAGTAGAGTAAGGCTTAGACC